CACTTTTGCCTCATTTATGTTGCGGTCCCTCCAGTGTTGACTATCATCTTTACGGGAGTATCTATTTTGTTTAAATGTTAGAAAGTTTATTATAAATTTATGTTTATCTATGTAAATTAATTTAATTAACAATTATCACAATTAAGATATTACTTTATTATAAGAAATACCACTCCTATGACTAGTAAAGCAATGATATAAGGAGTTGTCAGGTATTGGGTAATACCATACGATAGGATTTCCATTATTCACTGGATTGCTATATAAACGTCTAATAAAATTATGTATTAATAGATAATCAAGGAGATAGTGTTAAAGGAAATACTAGTACACATACCCGATACGCGTAAATCGCAAGACTTGTCAAATAATCTATAAATTTCTTGGTATACTTATTACAAAATATAGTTACAATAATCAGCCTTGTTGTAAAGTATTATCACTTTAGTGACTGTTTTATGTTTTTAACTATACTTGAAATTGATATACAGTGATGTAAATAATGTAATCCATATAGAAACTATCCTTGAGTCTGTTTATATACTGGTATATGCTAACAAAGATTATGTAACATTGTAAGACTATGTCTCATATCAACACTATTTACGCACAGAATTTCTGCAATAGTTAGCAATCACATCCTATTTTTCTTATATAAATATACAATATCATACAAAACATTATTTATTCATGTATTTCATTAAAAGGTATCAAATATATGAATGCATTTACTTTAGATGACTAATCCAGAAAACATTTATTCAAAAAACAATTAACAAATATATTGAATTACAAATTGTGCCATAATTTCGATGACAATAATGAGACAAAATGTCTACGGATTAAAAGACGTGACAAATGAGACGGTGGTTGAAGTGGTGCGCCGGAGATTCCTGTGCGCAGCCGACGCCAACCCGCACCTGTACCACGAGATAGACGTGGAAAGGGTCCGGTGCGAGGACTGGCAGGTCGAGAGGTTTGTGTTGGACAAGGGGTCGGCCGACTCGGCGTACGAGGCGCTGACCAAAGCGCTGGAGTGGAAACACCGGTTCGGTGTACACGACAGGAGTCATCAGTACTTTCCCAAA